GTAGCCGATCCTCGTGCGATGGAAATCCTTCCTCCAGGTTCCGGAGCACCCCACTTTTGCTGGAAATTCCTAACAAGATAGCCTTTAGCCGTCCTGACTCGTCATTCTCCCGCACAGTGACGCGGCACACGGGGGCAATGCACTCCCCTCGCCGCCATCTTCCCATCTCCCAAATATTTATGTTTTAAGTTGTAGTTGAACACAATACCTTTATTTTTGTTTATTTATTTTTATGTGGTGCTGAGGATTGAACTCAAGGCCTGGCACTTGCTAGGCGAGCGCTATACCGCTAAGCTACAACCCAAGCCCCTGAAATGTATTTTTAAGAATATTTGGTTAGATATGGGTAAAAGAATGGATATGAAAAAAGTAAATATGCTTATGATAAAATCTAGTTGGTAGATATGTGGATGTTCACTGTAAAATTGTTTCAGCTTTTTTAAAAATATTTTAGTTGTGGGTGGATATGATATCTTTATTTATATGGTGCTGAGAATTGAACCCAGTGCCTCATACATGCTAGGCAAGCACTCTACCACCGAGCCACAACCCCAGCCCTATTTCAGCTTTTTTATATGTTTGAAATTTTCATACCAAAATGTTTGGAGGGGCAAATAATACCTAATACTTGTTTTGTTTTATGTTTGATGTATAAACAGTCTTTACTGGGCTCAGACAGGAAGTCCATGGGTCTTGAAAAGACCTCTTCGTACATATGGTTTTCTTTTTGTTGTTTCGTCTTAAAAAGTTTTTTTTGCCCTTATAATTTTTTAAACACTGACTATATAGTTGATCCCCTTAAGGCTTGATAAGACTTGGTACCTGGAGCAGGGACACAGCCATCAACCTTTTTTACCTTGAGTTTTAGATACCTTGATATAGAGTTTTGCTAAACTGCTTAGGGCCTTAGTCTGATTTTCCCACTCAATTCTGGTTCTACCCTATCTTAGTAGCCATCACATAGTGTCGCCACCTTAAGAGCTTTTTGGAAAAGTGATAAAAGATAACATGGGCAAAAATAAAAGTTTTTATTCTACTCAGGGAGAAAGCAGTATTGGTTAGGAAGGTTCTGCGTGCAAATAACAGAAAATCCAAGGAAAAATGACTTCCACAGTAAGAGGGTTTACTATCTTATATAACAGCAATCTGGAAGCAGAACATGTCCAGGATTTCGGGATTCCAGTTCAACTTTTTTGTGATTTTCATGACTTTTCCTGGATATCAGTTAGCTACTGCAACTCCACACATTGGGTTCTTGCCCAACAGCATCTAAAAGAAAGAAGGGGAGACTTTTTATGTTGTATTTCTTTTTAAGAACAAGGAAAACAATCCTGAAAAGTCTTCAGTACACTTTATATCACACATTCCTACTTAAACCTACCACTAGGAAAGTGGATAGAATTACCACGATGGTCTAAACTCTTCGACATCCTCCCCTGGAATGGAGGAACACAAAATCTGAACAAAATTAAGGTTCTGTTAGCCTGAGGAAGAGACAAGTGGCCTCAAAACCAGATTCGAAATTTTGGTTATTAAAAACATAAATTTGAGGAGCTGGGGCTCAGTGGTAGCGTAGTTGCCTGGCACGTGTGAGGCACTGGGTTCGATTCTCAGCACTGTATATAAATAAATAAAATACAGATCTGTAAACAACTAAAAACATGTTAGGGGTAGGGGGGACATAATTTGAGCTGGGCACAGTGGCATATGCCTGTAATTCCAGCAACTGGGGAGGCTGAGGCTGAAGGATCACAAGTTCAACACCAGCTTCAGCAACTTATCAAGGCCCTAAGCAGTTTAGCAAAATTCTATCTAAAAGTAAGAAATAAAAAGGCTGGCAATGTGGCTTAATTGTTAAGTGTCTGGGTTCTATCACTGGTACAAAACAAAACATAATTTGAAATGTTCTAGTTTTCTATTAGTAGGTAAGGTTTCTGTCAATAATGGTAATGTTCTATGCATTTCCAGTAAAACTAGAAGAAGAGTTTTTTAATGTTATCTGAATTTAAAAAACATAATTTGAAAAACATAAAGTAAATGTATTTGTGTGTGTGTGTGCGCGCGCGCGCGCATGCAAGCGCGCCTGGGATTGGACCCAGGGGTGCTTAACCACAGAGCCCCATTTCTAGCCCTTTTTATATTTTATTTTGAGATAGTCTCTTGGTACATTGCCGAGGATCTCGAACTTGCAATCCTCCTGCCTCAGCTTTCCAAGTTTCTGAGATTATAGGCATGTGCCACCATGCCTGGCTAAAATTAATATACTTTTAAGGCTTAAAATATACATATATATATAAAATAAAAAGTGAAAATATATCCTCATCCTATTTTTTTCCCTCCTAATTTCACTCCTCTGATAAAGCCACTATCAGTAACTTGTGGGGTATAGTTTCAAACAGCTTACAGGGGCTGAAGATGTGGCTTAAGTGGTAGCGCGCTCGCCTGGCATGCGTGCTGCCCAGGTTCGATCCTCAGCACCACATACAAACAAAGATGTTGTGTCCGCTGAAAACTAAAAAAAAACTAAATATTAAAATTCTCTCTCTCTCTCTCTAAAAAAAAAAAAGAAAGAGAAAAAAAGAAAGAAATATAAACCTACTACCATAGTTTTGTTTTTTCCCCTAAATTTAGGTTCATACTAAACATATTGTTTGCAAGTTGATATTTTCCCTCAATTATCTGTTAAACACATTTTTTCATGTCTGTGTATAGCTTTCCCTTGAAAATTATTTCATATTATACATCATCATGGCCCTTTTGGTGGTCATTGAAGAGGTTGTCTCCAGTTTTCCCCATTACTAATAATGCAGTAGCTATCCTATCCCACTTTTTAATTTTTTATGATGAATTTCAATTATATGTGAAAACAGACCAGGATAATGAACCCCCATACACCTATCACCTTTCATCAGTTGTCAACATTTTGCTTCTCTTGTTTTATCCTTCCTTCTGTCCCTATTTTTAGTTTTTGGGGAAGCACTTTAAAAGCAAATCTCAAACCTAATTTCACCCATGAATACGTAAGCAATCACTAACCTTTTTTTGTGTATGTGTGTATTTTTAATTTTGAGATTAAGGTCTCACTAAGTTGCCTAGGATCTTGCTAGATTGCTTAGGCTGGCCTCGGACTTGGCAATTCTCCTGCTCCAGCCTCCTGTGTTTTTTTGTTTGTTTGTTTGTTTGCTGGGATTATAGGCATGTGCCACCTTGCCTGGCTCGCTTAGCATGTTTTCATGGTTATCATATTGTAGCACATATCAATACTTCATTCTTTTTTATGGCTATTTTATCAGTATGCCACACTTTATTGATCTATTCATTAGTTGGTAAATATTTGAGTTGTTTAGACCTTTTGGTTATTGTCAGTAATGCTACTGTGAACATTTTTATTTACAAGTTTTTGTTTGAATGCCAGTTTTCAGTTCTTTAGGATAATATACCTAGGAGAGGGATTGGTGGATCCATTGGTATTTGTTTTTGAAGAACTATCATACTATTTTCCACAATGGCTGCTCCATTTTACATTCCCATCAGGAGTGTATAAAGATTCTAATTTCTCCATATTCTTGCCAATACTTGTTATTTTCTGGGTTTTTGAAATTATAATCATCCTAAGTCTGTGTGAAGTAAACTTGGTTTTGGTATGCTTTTATGATGTTGAACTTTTTTTTATGTTCTTAATGGCCATTTTTATATTTTTTTTGGAGAATGAGCTCTCTCTCCAAGTTCTTTGCCCTTTTTTTATTTAGAATGGTTTGTCTTTTTTATTTTGGTTATCAGTATTCCTTGTATATTTTGGATCCTAGACACTTTGTAATTTCTTCCATTACGTGGATTATTTTTACTTCCTTATAGTATCCTTTGATGAACAAAAGCTTTTAATTTTTATGAAGTACATTTTTACATGTTTTTGTTGTTGTTGCATGCACCTTTGATATTCTAGACTTTTTTTTTTTTTTTTTTTTTTTTTGTGCAGGGGATTAAATCTGTAGCTTCATATACACTAGATACACTAAGCAGTTGCTCTACTGCTAAATCAATCCCATAGTCCCCATCCACTCTTTAAAATATTTTTTTAGTTGTAGGTGGACACAATATCTTTATTTTATTTATTTATTTATTTATTTTTTATGTGGTTCTAGGGATTGAACTCATGCCTCATGCATGTGAGGCAAGCACTCAACCACTGATCTACAACCCCAGACCCCAATCCACTTTTTTTGGTACTGGGGATTGAACTCAGGGGCACTTGACTACTGATCCATATTCCCATCCCCATTTTGAATTTTATTTAGAGACAGGGTCTCACTGAGTTGCTAACACCTCGCTGTTGCTGAGGCTGGCTTTTTGAACTCAAAATTCTCCTGTCTCAGCCTCCCAAGCAGCTGGGATTACAGGCGTGCACCACCATGCCCGGCTCCCCCCATCCACTTTTTGAAAGTATATATTGTGTTGTTTAAAATGAATTGCCAATTAAATTTTTCATAAATACATAGATCTGCCCATTTAAATATACTTTTTTCCCATACCTTCATCCATACTGTATGTATGTATGTATATATAATATGTGTGTATGTGTATATTTTATATTATATGTATATACACACACACTTTTTTCTTTTCCCCAGTACTGGGGATTGAATCCAGGGTTATTCTACCTCTAAGCTATGTCCCCAACCCTTTTTATTTTTTACTTTACAACAAGGTTTCACTAAATTGCCCAAGCTGGCTTCAAATTTTTTATTTCTTCTACCTTTGCCTCTCAAGCTGCTGGGATTACATGTGTGCTGCACCACACCCAGTCCATACTATATATTAATCAGTCTTACTCTTTCTAGTTTTTGATAATTTGACAGGTAAAAAATAATTTAATTTGCTTTTTCGCCATGATTAATTTATTTACTTTATTACATTATATTTCTTCTAATTGTAGACACTCAAATATATGTTGAATGAATGTTCATATCTTTTGCATTTTATCTTTTTAATTGGCCATCCAGATGCTACATTTATGTGTGACAAGCGGTGTAACAAGAAACGGTTGTGTGGACGGCATAAATGTAATGAGATATGCTGTGTGGTAAGTGGACTTATCATTAGGCATAATTAGATTCCATTCATCTAGGCACCAGGCTCTAGAAACCTCAGCCATCTGGAATGTGGCCCAGATTTAGATATCAATAGGAAGGGCCTGTAGTCAAGAAAGAGCTCTCATAGTCCCCAAACTGCTCAGCAGAGATAGATAAAACATTTTTAGACCTCAGCCAGGTCAAGAAATCAACCAGTGGTAGCATGAAGGAATTTAAAAAGGAAAGACAAAAGACCTTGGACCCCAGAGCCCAAGACCTAGATGAGCACACAGTCCAACACACTATTATGGACTTAGCAACTGCATTTTATATACTCATTGGGCCAAGTCAGTAGGCAAAATGAATATAACTTTTTTTTTTTCTATTTGTCAGTAGACCTTTATTTGTTTGTTTGTTTGTGTGTGGTGCTGAGAATTGAACCCAGTGCCTCACACATACCAGCAAGTGCTGTACCACTCTGAGCCACAACCTCACCCCTGAGTATGGCATTTTACAGGAGTAAGTTACATTTATTTGGAATATTCACTTCTGTGGAATTAATTAAAGGAAACATAATTCAACTATTGATATATCTTATCGTATATACATATGTGTGTGTGTGTCATATGTACATGACAAGATAACATGTACATATGTGATATATATATCTGTGAGTATATGTATATACACAAATGTGTACATACAAAGTATTAGCACCAATAACAAGGTAATACATAATTGTCATTTAAAAAAATGTATATATTGACAAGGTGAAGAATGATGAAATTGTGCTTTCTACCAAGATTGATAAGTCAGTGTTTGAAGGCCTAAATGCTTTTGATTATCAAAAATTAAGCATATACAAAAGCAGTGACATTAGTATAGTGACTCACATGTACATAACATCCAGCTTCAGTAGTGCCCAAATCATGGCTAATCTTGTTTTATCCATACCCTAACCGACTTCCTCCTCCCTGGTTATTTTGAAGCTATTCCTAGACATTATTTCATACTTAATTGTATAAAGCTTTGTTTTTGCAAGTTAATCTTATTTATAGAAAATATAAAATGGAGACCATTTTGTGAACAAATAGAAATCTCTCCCCTCAGGATAAGGAGCACAAGTGTCCTTTGATTTGTGGGAGGAAACTTCGTTGTGGCCTTCATAGGTGTGAAGAACCTTGTCATCGAGGGAACTGTCAGACATGCTGGCAAGCTAGTGAGTGTCTTCACTGTATACTTAGTTATGAGAGTTTCTTAGAAACTCAGGCATACTAAATTTTGAGATTTGTTTGCTTAGATTGATGTGCATTATTGAACTAAATCTTAGTATTTCAGACATGTTGAGGTTTTTTAAAGTTATTTTTTATTGCTGTCTTACAGTCCCTGGATGTATGAAACTTGAGATGTGAGCAGTGACCCTGAGATAAGGGTTAATTCACTAATGGATTCCTCTTCTGATAACTCCCTTCTATATATTATTGACCTAGCTTCTGCCCTTGGCAGTCTTCTATATTAGCAGTGTTATTAGCAGCAGTTAGTAAGCTATTTGGTCTTGGGACACATTTATATTCTTCAAACTATTGAGGACTCTGAAGAGCTCTTTTCTGTGAGTTATATCTATTGATATCTATCATATTAGAAATTAAAACTGAGATATATAAGCAGTTGATTTATTATTTCATTTTTTTAAGAGAGAAAGAGAGAATTTTTTAAAATTTATTTTTCAGTTTTCGGTGGACACAACATCTTTATTTTATTTTTATGTGGTGCTGAGGATCGAACCCAGCGCCCCCGCATGCCAGGCGAGCGCATTACCGCTTGAGCCACATCCCCAGCCCTATTATTTCATTTTAAGATAATAGTAATATATGCATTGCAGGTTAACATTAATCACTTTTTTAATTTTAAAAAATCTCTACTTTGAAAAAAATACACTATTGGATGCCTGGCTTAATACAAGATAGCTGTAATCTCATATCAGCTTCTGCATTTTATCTGTTACAGTGCAGTTGAGGCATATAAAAAAAAATCCAGCCTCACATAGATAGCTATTTGGAAGAGTGAAGAATGTTTTTTAAACTTTCTTGAATAATTGTGGATACTGTTCTTTGGTGTTATACCAAAACTCAACCTCATTACAGAAACGACATGAGTTAGTATTGTTTTTATTCTGTCACATTAAAATACATTGGTCTCTCTTGTACTTTGAATGGATCTTTTACCCATGCTTGATTTTATAATACAATACACTCATCATTTGGCAGATAAATATTCCCTGGGTTATTCAGATCTTTGAAATATTGACAAATTTTGTGTAATAGTAAAAACTAATTTGTAATAGTAGAAACTCATAGTCATTAATATAACCTTCTAATAGAAATGTGTTGGGGAAAGTATTGGGGAGTTGTCAGACTCAGAGTGATAAGTAGAACACTTGATATCTGTTTGTGCCTTTTTCACCCGGTCAACTTTAATAAAATAAAAGCTTAATAAAATAGAAACCTTTTTATTTTTAAAATAGCCCTCTTCCAAATTATCTAAAACCACAAACAACAATAAATGTTTGCATCTTCATTTAATATGACATCCACATCCCAAACTAAACAAGGGAATTTTTTGCCTTACCTACCAGGTTTTGATGAATTAACCTGCCACTGTGGTGCATCAGTGATCTACCCTCCAGTTCCTTGTGGTACTAGGCCTCCAGAGTGTACCCAAACCTGTGCCAGAATCCATGAATGTGAACATCCAGGTGAGTCCCATCTTCCCTACCTCACAGCCTGCTCATACCATGTCACTGAGGATGTTGCCATGTAACTGTCTTCATGTGCTGAGGTCATGCTGAGATGGCTGTCCCTTGCTCACTGTGCTTCTGTGAAGGTGAGTCTATTATCAGGGCTCCAGTTTGGACCCACAGCAAAGTCTATTGCTTTATTCTGTGATTTTTCAGACACACCCAGAAGGGTGGAAGAACCCCTACTTGGTCTTGTCTTTCAAGGACTTTTCTTTGTGACCTCCACTTTTGGTGCATATTTCAAAGTTGAACATCTTTTGACAAAATTAAGAGTAACTTGAGGGGCTGGGTTTGTGGCTCAGTGGTAGGGCACTTGCCTAGCATGTGCGAGGCCTTGTGTTTGATTCTCAGCACCATATAAAAAATAAATAAAATAAAGGTATTGTCCAACTACAATTAAAAAATAAAATAACGGGTTTTTGCTGTTACAGAAGCAATGTATATTAAATAAAATAAAGCAAGAATAAAAGTAATGAAGTCAAAAGGTTAACATTAAGTTGTTAATTATATCATCTCCTAAGAATTAGATACATTTTTCTCTTTATCACTAAGATTTTCTACAATATGGGGTATGTGTGTAACTGGAAATTGAATCCAGAGCTTCATACATGCTAGGCAAACACTCTAATGCCAATATAGATTTTTAATGACAATAGAGTACTCTGTTACATGAATCGGCCAGTTTATTTAATCAGTCTTGTGTTGCTGGACATTTGAGTTCTTTCCACTTTTTCTCTGATAAACTGCTTTTGACACCACCCCAAAAACTACTTGACATCAGTCATTTTTCATATCTGTCTAGTCCAGTTGCTGACTTTTTCCTAGGACTGTATTGTGCCCATTGTTTGTTTTATTTTATTTTTCCATCATTTTATTTTAACAAGCCTCAGAGACAAACTTAAAATAATCAAGGCCCCAGATTTAATACTTTCAGTGAACTCTGATCATATGATTCAGACTTACAATAATAGACCTCTTTTTTTTTTTTTTTTTAATTAATAGACTAAAAAGAATAAGCAAATTCCTCATGAAATAAAAAGTCCCTTTCTTCCCTGGAACCTTAGGATGTCCAGCCCTCCCAGCAAAGTTTATACTCATACTACAGTGTTCACACAATCATGAAGTAAGTGTCCAGGCCACACGCAACCCCAACCCCTTTTCTCAACGAAGTTCAAAACCTGCTGGGTAATGTCCTTAGTAAGAACTTAACTGCTTGTGAATTATGTTGTTTTGGCCTGCTTTTGTTCTGCATTCATTGCCATTTTCTTGAGTGTTTGTTGTATATTCAGCATGGTATCAAAGCTTCCGAGGAATTTTTTTAAAAACCCATAGCTTTGAGGTTCTTGTGTTTTCCCTGGGAGGAAGAGAATGGTAATTAAGTACACACAACACAACCAACTTGTATGTACATGAACCGGATGGCATGGCAGCAAGCCTTACAGAGAATGTGAGGGAGCTTAGGATAGAGTGTGGTCAGTCAAGAAAAGTTTTGTTGTAGGGGACAAGTTTTAGTGAAGTACCTCTTACTGACAATAATGATATCGAAAGGAGTCAGCATAATTATTTTAGATGGAATACGTGGCAAAGGTATCTGTGTACCAGTGAGCAGTTGTAGCATAAGGTAGAGTGAAAATAATAATGTAGTAAAATGAACAGACCAGGTGACTGTCTGCAGGACATGGTGAGAAAGCTGTCACCTCTCTGCTTCTGGCATTTGGCATATTTCTTCCCATCTTGATTTGGTTTCTCTTTCCCACTCATCTCATCTTTCAACACTTTATTGTAAAACCAGGTGCTTTTTATGTTCCTCTGTCCACTTAGAAAAAATACTCCCTGCTCCAGAATTTAAATGTTCTATTTCATATGCTGTTTACAATATATAGACCTACATTCATATGTTATAACACGTAAATGTTATAAATGGCATATATGTGTGGCTTTGCTTAGAAATCATACCTAATGGGGCTGGGATTGTGGCTCAGCTATAGAACGCTCGCCTAGCACCGGCAGGACCCAGGTTCGATCCTCAGCACCACATAAAAATAAAGGCATTGTGTTGTGTCCATCTACACCTAAAAAATTAATTAATTAATTAATTTTTTAGAAAAAGAAATCATACCTAATATTACCTTTCTTTTTCTGCAGTATATCATTCTTGTCATAGTGAGGAGAAATGTCCCCCTTGTACTTTCCTAACTCAGAAGTGGTGCATGGGCAAACATGAGGTAAGTTTTCTCTCAGGTGTTCATTGTTCCAGCCAGAGATTTATAATTTAATTACTTAAGAGCTGTTAGTTTGATCATTTCTCAAACTAAACTTCCTCCAAGAAGAAGCTTTCTGTTGCCACTTTTTTCCTTTTTTTTTTTTTTTTTTTGTTGTTGTTGTTGTTGTCTGTCCCAATACTGTAGTTCTTTCCAGAATATCACAAAAGTGAAATCATTGAGTAGGTAGCAGTTTGAGTCTGTTTTATCATTCTCTAATCTCATTACAACTAATGAAATTCAGCCTAGTTGACCTTGAGAATACATGCTATATTCAAAAACAGAACTTCTAAGTTAACTGGCATGAAAGTGGAGTTGCTAGCCTAGGAAGAAGTATTTCAATAAGAGTAGAAATGGACTGTATCCTAGCTGCCCGGTTTGTTCTCTCATCCCTATGCAACTCCCCATTCCCAACCACTGGACTCAAATGCCTTCCTCCAGTCTTATTACCAGTACCCTGAAGGACTTCCACTCTCATTCTTAATCTCTAAGCCATATTTGGCATTGTCCACTATAAACCTTTAAATGCTTGAAATTTCTATTTTAAAAATGCATATTTAGGGCTGGAGTTGTGGCTCAGAGGTAATGCGCTCACCTAGCATGCATGAGGCACTGGATTCAATCCTCAGCACCACATGAAAATAAAATAAAGATTTTTTTTAAAAAGCATATTTATCATAGATAATTTAGAAAATAAAGTTCTGCTTCCAAGAGAGTACTTTACAGGTGGGCAAGAAGGGAATTAGTACTGGGGATTGAACCCAGTATGTGTGTGCTATGTAAACTTCCTACCACTGAGCTGTACCCCAGCTGAAGAAAGAGATATATATCCTTTAACATTCTTGGTGTATAATCTACCAGGCATGTGTTGATACAGATACATACTTTCCCCTACTCTGATTAAGATAATATTGTTTTGTAACCTGATCTTTTTACTCCATAACACATTAGCCAACATTTCTTGAAATTCTCTTGACATCTGTAACAACATGCTTTTAGTATTATTTTCTTATCTTGATGGACATATTTTTCTCCACTTATTTCCTGTGAGTAGTTCTCAAGTCATAGTCCTTCATATTTATCTCCTCTATAAATCTCATTTCCTCTGCGAATTTATCCATTCTAAGACATCTATGTGTCATCTTTGTATTGATGACTTAGCCACACTTCTTTCAACAAATATTGAGTATCTACTATGTGCTAGGTAATAGGTTTGGCATATTCAGAAGTTAACAACACTAGGGCTAGGGTTGTAGCTCAGTAGTAGAGTGCTCATCTTGCATGTGGAAGGCACTAGGTTCGATCCTCAGCACCACGTAAAAATAAAATAAAGGCACTGTGTCCATCTCAACTAAATATATATATATGTATATGTATATGTGTGTGTGTGTGTGTGTGTTTGAAGAAGTTAACTAGCCAAGTGTACTGCCACACACTATAATCCCAGTGACTCAGGAAGCCTCAACAGCTTAGCAAGGCCTTGAGCAACTTAGTGAAACCCTGTCTCAAAAAATAAAGAGGGCTGGAGATGTGGCTCAGTGGTTAAGCATCCCAGTACCAAAAAGAAAAAGAAGTTAACAAGATTGACATGACCCTGCCCTTGTGCGACCTTCACTTGGGTGGGAAGCAGACAGGGAAACAGGCAATTATAAATGCAGTAATGTGGAAAATACAGAATACTGAAGGGGTGAAGGGGTCTTGAAGGCATTTGGGGGACATAACATACTGAATGATCATGAGGAGGTAGGTAAGCAATGTGGGGAGAAGATGACAGAGGATAGACCATTAGCCAGAATTTATGCCCTGATACTAGAATAGGTAAATGTTTAATGATTAGGAACTATATTCTACCCAAATACTAATTCCAAAACAATTGGAAACATATGTCCTCTTCAAAAGTTATATGTCACTGAAGTTGAAGTGTATTCCTCATTTTGAGGGTTCTTGAAGGAATTTGAGTGAATATGTGAGAGTAAACTTTGGTTCCACAGAAGTAAAATTTTAAGACATTTTTCCTACAGTGGGGAAATCTGGAACCATGCAATTTCTTAAGAAAAAATAAATTGGGGGTTACTATTGCCTCTTATGTTTTTTTAAATGACAGGGCTGCCTGAAGTTATGAGACAATTATTTGGAAGATGTGAGGAGAATTGAATATTAAGCACATAAAAGAGTCCTGCCACCTATCTCAGAACCCTAGGCCAAGATTCTCCCCAGCCCCAGCATGTAAAATGGTTAGTCTGTCGACATAGTCTAAAAAAGCAAGATGTCTTCTGATCCTCCCAGTTTAGTCATAGAATTTTGGTTTTTTAAAGTTTTCCCATGTTTTTTTCTTTATTTTAATGATGTTTTATTAGTGCATTATAGTTATACATAATAGTGAATTCATTTTGACATAATTATATATGCATGTAATATAATTTGCTCCATTTCAGTCCCCAGTACTTTGTATTTCCCTACCCTCCTCTCTCCCCGTCCCTTCTTTTACTATACTGGTCTTTCTTCTATTTATTTATTATTTTTTAATTGGCATTTTATAGATAGAAATAAAGTTGGAATTCACTGTGATATATTAATATATGTACATGATATAATTTTGGTCAGTTTCATTCCACAGTTCCTCCCTTTTCTCATCCCTCTTCCCTTACCCTCTGTTCCCTTTCTCTACACCACTAATCTGCCTTCTTATTTTCATGCTCCTCCTCCTTTTTTCCTTTCCTTATTGGTCATAGCAGTTGTTTGTTTGTTTTCAAGTATCTTTAGTTGTAGACAGACACAGTACTTTTGTTTATTTATTATGTGGTGCTGAGGATCGAACCCAGTGCCTCACATGTGCGAAGCAAGTGCTCTACCACTGAGCTACAACCCAGCCCAGTCATAGCAGTTTTGAAGTACTTCCTAGTTATCTGATTTAATTTCCTGTTGCCTACCTTAGAAAGTTTATCTCAGGTCACACTTAGCTGCTGCCAAAAATATTTTGGATCATAGCAAACATAATTATTATTAAAGTTCACATTTGTTTTCTTGTCAAACTACTCCTTTTTTACTTTGAAAATCAAATTAATTGTTTTCAAATAAAAAGAATAAAGTTCAAAAATGTTCTAAAGGTAAATTAAATCTCACCCACATCCCACACCGAGATGAGAATCTGGCTACTTCTGTCTTTCCTAGTTACGAAGCAACATCCCCTGTCACCTGGTTGATATCTCTTGCGGATTACCCTGCAGTGCTACGCTACCATGTGGGATGCACAAGTGTCAGAGACTTTGTCATAAAGGAGAATGTCTTGTGGATGAGGCCTGCAAACAGCCCTGCACCACCCCCAGAGCTGACTGTGGCCACCCATGTATGGCATCTTGCCACCCCAGCTCACCCTGTCCAGTGACTGCTTGCAAAGCCAAGGTGGGTATTTCTGACTTCAGATGGAACACTGACTCTGGGGCTGCTAGGGAATCCAGAACTGACTAAGCAGACCCTGGCCATGCACCTTAATCAGTCAGGAAACATTGGTTGCAAGGAACTCCAAGTTAAGGTAGCAAGAGAAAGATGGTATAAATCATAAAGATTTCTATTTGCCAACTTGGTATGGCCTTTTAGTTCAGCAGATACCCTACTGTCATCTGACCACATTCTGTGTCTCCCTTCAGTCACATTCTCAGAAGACCCTGTCAACTCCATTTATTCAATAAATGTATAATGTCTGAGTATTTAAAAAAAAAAAATTGTATGAGGTAATAAACATGGTCCCTTATAATTTGATGGTCCAGATACTAAGTAATTAATCAGATAGATCAGATATGGTATCATAGAGGAGTAGTTATATCCTTAGAGAGGGTGCTGTGGGAGCATGTAGGAAACTTGGCTGGATATGAGGGATCAAGCAAGGCCATCTAGAAGGGGTGAAAGCAGATGAATCTGGTGGTATTGGCTAGACCTCAATTGGTTGCCCCTAGTGCAAGTGTCCACCTCTGGTTCAGTGGTATAAACTTCATTCTGAGCCTTCATGCCGGATTAAGAACAGAGTAGTTTCTAGAAAGGGGCATTATATATAGGACACATCCCTCCTAGCATGTCAGCTACCGCATTTTCAATTTACATGTGTTAGCTAGGAACAGTGGCACACATCTATAATCCTAGATGCTCAGGAGGCTGAAGCAGAAGGATCATAAGTTCAAGGCCAGCCTCTGGAACTTAGCAAAACCCTGTCTCAAAAATAAATTTCTTTGGTCGGAATGGGTGTACCAGGGATTGAATTCAAAGGCACTCAACCACTGAACCACATCCCCAGCCCTGTTTTGTATTTTATTAGTGACTGGGTCTCACTGAGTTGCTTAGCGCCTAGCTAAATTGCTGAAGCTGGCTTTGAACTCACAATCCTTTTGCCTCTGGCTCCCAAGCCGCTATGATTACAAGCATGCATCACCACATCCAACCAAAAATAAATAAATAAATTTTTAAAGGGGATGGGGATGTAACTCAGTGGTAGAGTGCTTACTTACCTAGCATGTGTGAGGCCCTGTGTTCAATCCCATTAACACATGCACACAACAAAGAAAATGCACATGTGTTAGCTTCTTCCATCTTGGAATGTGGCTGCTCACTGACTCTCTTGCCATGGTTTGGTTTAAGAAAACTCTTAGAAGCAAAGCCTGCTTAACACATGATTCACATGTACTAAGAGTTGTTCCATGTTAATTTTATTTCAGGTAGAGCTACAGTGTGAATGTGGACGAAGAAAAGAAATGGTGATTTGCTCTGAAGCATCCAGTACCTATCAAAGGTTAGTGCTACAGAAATGTTAACAATTGGTAGATGTAGTGAAGGGGATTCATGTGCTTATTGGAAGATCCTTGCAAGTTTTCTAAAAGTAAGAGAATCTTTTTCTTTTCCTCTCTCTCTCACTTTTCCCCTTTTGGTCTTATTAAACTATGAGATAAAGAAAAGATATCCTGAAGTTAGATAAATTGCTTTAATATCCACTGCCTATAGGTGCCCCTTCCCCAGTCAAGGTTTTCTAATTGTTCTGGGAGGGATCTTTTTAGCCTTTTAAAGTCTTGGAATTTGTGTGGTCATACAGGGATCTGAGTGCAGGGATGGAGGTGTTAGGGAATGACTGTTATGGGTGTCTCTGATTAGATGTTGAGGTAGGCCTTAGATATAGGACTTTGCAAATACACAAACATCAAATTGGCTATTTATGAAAACCTGCTGAGTGCTGGGCATTGGCCTGAATGCTCAGGTATACTGAGGAGTTGGGTTACTTCATCACTTCCTGTGTAGCTGCTTAAAACCTAGTGAAGACTCATGCCACAAACAGTAGGTAGTTTGTAAGATAGGATTCCAAGGCCACACAAACTGTCTTGTGGTGGATTGGCTTTAAAAGCGGTGTTCTGTGTTTCTAGCATGGGGAGTTTCTTGTGAAACTGCAATGTCTATTCTCTTTTCAATATTTCAGAATAGCTGCTATTTCTATGGCCTCTAAAATAACAGACATGCAGCTTGGAGACTCAGTGGAGATCAGCAAGTTAATTACCAAGAAGGAAATTCAACAAGCCAGGTAATTTAAAAAATGTGTAAGGTGCCTTCTTTCTCTAATTAGACTTGGTTTCTCATGGGTAGGGCACATTCATTTATTTTAGTCTCCCACAATGGAGCTCATTCACAGCAGGTATTCAATACACTTTGATGTTGAGACCATACCCACTCCAAACCCAAGGAGTCCCACTCAAGATGTAGCTAAGACCAGAGGATATTTTCCAGTTTCACTTTAGACAGTTGATAGAGGAAGCAGAGTCCTAGATGTGCCCAGCCCAGCCCACAGGAAAACAGAGAATCAGAGTGGTGGCTGAATATAAGAAGGGAGGTGGGACTGCCAGAAGGGTCCCTGGGGAGCATTTTGAAGGCAGAGCATCCAGAGAACATGCCCATTGAGAACTCCTAGATTCCCATAACCTAGAGACCAGGGGAAACAATGAGATTCACAGGGCAGGAGTTGCTAATGAAACCTGAAAAGTAGGTGACCTCACAAGCCTCACAAGCTGGCCTGAAGAAAAGTCCTTTGGCAAGAGTGTGCTGTGTCTTCAAGTGATCTAAGTAAGACTTTCTTGCTGGATAGGAACTGTAGAACCTGTGTCCTGACTAATTTTTTTTCATTTGCTTATCAAGGCTAGAGTGTGATGAGGAGTGTTCAGCCTTGGAAAGGAAAAAGTAAGTGGTTTCAACAGCTTGTTATCTAATTGTCACTGAGCCCTATTAATTAATGGGAGGAAGCAACCCTTTTGTCACTCAACATCTACTCTGAGTCTTTCACTGCTATCAGAAAGAGAAATATGATCATCAAGAATTGAATTGTCTAAGGATAAACTACTCAGGTAGTTTCAGCGTGTTTCAGAAGCATGAGCTGGGTGGATTTGGGCATGATGCCACAACATAATTATTTAGTGACTGGCCAACTTCCTGATTCCAACAGAGGTAACAATCTTAAAATGAATTCTGCTCGGGATGTGGCTCAAGTGGTAGCGCCCTCGCCTGGCATGCATGAGGCACTGGGTTCAGCACCACATAAAAGTAAAATGAAGATATTATGTCCACCTAAAACTAAAAAATAAATATTTTTTTAAAAAATGAATTGTTTGTATTGAAGTACAACATATAAGTGTAAAGATCAGTGGGCTACAGTGGTATAAACAATACTGAAGTCAAGAAGTAGAAAATTATCAGAGTCCTCTCATGTAGCCCACAAAATTGTCTGTCCTGACTTTAACACTTGAATCTTGTCTGTTTTTGAACTTTATACAAGTGAAATCATATGGTTTGTGTTTGGTTTCTTTCATTACATTTGTGACACTCATTTCTGTTGTTGCAAGTAGCAACACTGAATTCATCTTCGTTTTTGCGTATTATTGCATTAATATATCAGTAACTATTCTGCTATTGGGCTGTTTCAAATAATGCTGTTAAGAACTTCTTCTTTTGTGAGGTGCTAGGGATTGAACCTGGGATCTTGCACTTACTTTCCAAGCACTATGCCTCAGAGCTACATTCCCAGCCCCCAAGAATATTTTTATTCTTGCTTTGCTATATATACATATTTGTTTCCACTGGATATAAACTTAGGAGTATAATTGTTGATTAATAAGGTATGCCTATGTTCAGCTTTAATAGATTCTTCCAAGTGTTCAAATTGGTTGTGCCAAACTACAGTGCTTTCAGCAATGATGCTGTTCAAAGTTCCCTTGCTGTGACTCTCATGGCAATTTTCTAGCGAGTGCTGTTCAAACCCATGCCCTTTTAATAACCATCAGTTAGTATTCTTAGTTGTAAAATGTGAAGTAGGAGTCCCAGATGTTCAGAAATGTTCTAAATTCACAGGTGTCCAAAATATGAAAATATGTCTTTGTGTAGTTGAGTGGTAGTATTATATAGTAGTCTGAGCTGTCCAGAGCTCCAGAGTCGGATTATCTAGATTTGAATCCTATCTTTACAAATCATGTAGCTTTATAACCTTCAGCAAGTCACATATTCTCCCTAAGCTTTAATTTTTGTTAAAAATTTGTATAATAGTGACAATAATAATATCTACTTCCCAGAGTTTTTGTGAGGATTAATATATTAAAATGAAGGAAGACATATAAGGCCCTTGCCACAAGCCTGACACATAGTAGTTGCCCAGGAAATATTAGTTACTGATTTAAACTGGCTTTTGCTTTTTTTTTTTTTTTTTTTTTTTTTGGCACAGTGCTGGAGATAGAATCCAGGGCCTTGCACATGCTAGACAAGTGATCTACCAAAGAAAAGAAATGCAAATTTTAAAAAGAAAACTCAATCTAAAGTTAAAATATATGTATATTTCTATTGCAAAAATCAAAAACTAACAGGCCAAATTCAGCTCATAGACAGGTTTTAATTAGTGTTTAAATTTGAATTGGTGGCCTACTAATAAAAACATCAAAGGATCTCCCTCCAAGAATTCTGAAAATTAAGACTGTTTAAAAAACAAAAAATAGGAAAATTTAAGCCATTGCATAGCATGTGTCTATAAATCCACCTGCTCAGGTGGCCAAGGCAGGAGGATCACCTGAGCCCATGAGTTTTGAGACCAGCTTAGGCAAGATAAGGAAACCATGTCTTAAACAAACAAATACGGTACGTATGTTTCCCAGTGAAATTCTTTCTGCTTTTATTTTCCAGATTTTTGTGATGGGATTTTAATTTTGGTGTTTATATGTCCATTTTATGATTTGGTTTTTTTTTTTTTTTTTTTTTTTTTTTTTTTGATGCTGGGGATCAGACCGAACACATTGTGCATGTTAAATATGCAGTCTGCCACAGAGCTACCTTCCTAGCTTAGGTACCTATGTTAAGCCTCAGAGAAAGTCATTCCCCATTGACCATTTCCAGTAATGTCATACACCAGCCTTCTCTTCCCCAAATAATAAAAATCTCTAATATTCAGCTTGCTCAGACCCACATAGGTCTTTTTTTGTTTATTTTATTCTATGAAGACGATACCACATCTTGTTTTCTTTTTTTAGTCATCCATTTTACTGAAATCAAATGGCTAATATATAAGGAACTTAGGACATTGTAATCCCTGTATATTATTACAGTAGTCACCCCTTATCTGCAGTTTTGCTTTCCAGTTTTAGTGACCCACAGTCAACTGCAGATCAAAAATATTAAATGGAAAATTCCAAAAGTAAAAAATTTACTGATTTTAAATTTCACTCTGTTGTTAATAGCCTGATGAAATTTTACACCATCCCCACTCCATCATGTGAGGGATATGAATCACGCCTATGTCCAGTATCCACACTGAATACACTACCCACCTAGTAACCGCTTAGTAACCATCTGAGTTATTAGATTGACTATTGCAATATCACATGTTTATGTTCAAATAACACTTATTGTACTTAATAATGGCTCTGAAGCACAAGAGTAGTGACTGGCAATTCAGATTTGCCGAAGAGAAGAAATGAAGTGTATAAGTAAAAAGGTAAAAGTTCTCAACTTAAGGGGGGAAAAAAAATCACATGTTAACATTGCTAAAATCTGTGCTGTTTTTATTAATCTTTTACTGTACCTAATTCATAAATTAAATTTTATCATAGATATGTATGTATAGGAAAACATATCATGCATAGGGCTTGGTACTATTACAGTTTTAAACATCCATTTGAGGTCTTGGAGCATATCTCCTATAGGTAAGAAAGGACTCTATAAGATAGTTTCCTCTACTCCTTTCCTTATGTTTGCAAAAACTTCTCTCATTTTCAGGAGGTTAGCAGAGGCATTTGATATCAGTGATGATTCTGATCCTTTTAATATACGTTCTTCAGGATCAAAATTCAGTGATAGTTTGAAAGATGATGCCAGGTATGTAACTTTTTTCTATTAATAATGGCTTAGGAGAGTATTTAGTATTTTAACATAGAAACTAATATGTATTCCTTCTGTGACTAAGGCAGGCAAAGTTTATTTACCTATTGTAAAAGATTGGGTGTTGTTTAATAAAAATCCTGCCTTAGTTTTTCAAAACTGTTTCCTTAACTGAACTTTGGTGGGGAGGTGGGTGCCCTGTGGTTGGAGTTGGAGCCTATCAAGAGCTAGAGTAGACTAAATCGTAGCATCTCTGAGCCACATTTCACCTCTGTCCACCCAAGTCTCACAATTACATGATTCTTACTGGGTCAGTAGTAGTTCTTATTTTTCTCCTGTTTCCTGGTGCTCTGATGGCTATGTCTCCTCCTTTCTCTTCTCGTATTTGTTCATATTCATATTCTCTCTCTCTCCCTCCCTCCCTCCCTCTCTCCCCTTTATCATGGCTGTCTGCTATCTGACAGTTCCTGACTTCTTTTCTGCCAGCATTGTACATTGTATGCTACTTTATAGGCAGAGGGTGAGTGGAAGGGATTCTTGGAAGAATAGAAACAAACAAAATTAACTGGTGATTTCTCATTTCAGGAAGGACTTAAAGTTTGTCAGTGATGTTGAGAAGGAAATGGAAACCCTTGTGGAGGCTGTGAATAAGGTTGAAGTCAAAACATCCAACTGGACATTCCTCTAAGGCCAGCTTGATAAGAGATCAAGTCCTAGAAACACCATCAGCTTAGAGTAGTTGTAGAAAAAATTAATAGTTTGCTTGAGGATTCTAATCTTTCCCCAAAACCCAGGCATTATAACATCCATGGAAGCTTGTCTAGGTTCAGTCATTGCAGAAAATAATATGCAGTCAAATTAAATGTTAATAAAAATCACAGCTCAGTGCTTCAGAGGGGGCAAAGAAACTCTGGACAAGGAATGATAGTCACATGACTAAGTAGAATATTTAGAACTCCTGCAAGGCCCTCAGATCTCAGAGGGCTGTGTGTGTGTTAGATAGCACACTCCTTCTTTGTTACTCCAAAGTCAGGACAGAAACTCTTGGATAAAGATAAAACTTTGTATGACTAGTGCTCAAAGAGTAATAGCAGGTAGACTCCTTAAAAAAAGGCCCAAAGCCATGTGCAGTTGCGCATCATTGTAATCTCAGAACTCAGGTAGTTGGTTGAGGCAGGAAGATCACAAATTCAAGGGCGTCAGCAACTTAGCAAGACCGTATCTCAAAATAAAAAGGCCTGAGCTACATCCCCAGCCCAGTTATAAGCATTTTCTATTTTTAAGATGATGTTATCAATCAGTTATCTATTTCCTCAATATAGGGAAAGAATAGTAAGAAAAGCCACAGCTTCCCTCCCATGAACAGAGACCACCGCCGAATCATCCATGACTTGGCCCAAGTTTATGGTCTGGAGAGCGTGAGCTATGACAGTGAACCAAAGCGCAACGTTGTAGTCACTGCCATCAGGTAGGTTAATCTGACTGTCACGGGAAGAACTCAGCAAGGCCAACTGGACCCAGGAGGCAGGGTCTATTGGGATTTGCTTTCCTTTTGTCTCTTCCTTTTGGAAGAATAGAAGGGAAAGCTACTTTGCTGGGCCAGCCTTTCATTATGATCTGAAGATCTGAGCCAGAGTGTGAATTCCATGCTTCATTCCATAAGGCACACATACCCAAAGCCTCATGTGTGCCCTAATCTATGGAAGATGCTAGAGGATTTATTTCTGTAGGTAGAGGGAACAGACCTTGGGGGCCTAAAGGTATGCCTTTTCATCATATCTGTCCCTTTTCCCTTCTGTCTTTTATTCCTCCCTCTGTCCCTCCCTGGCTTCATCTTCCTGGCATGAGAGAAATAGAACAAATGCTGGACTCTGATTCAAGGCATACCATGTGAACAGTATTTTACCATCAAAGGAAACTTAGGCAGTAGTGTGAGCCAGAAGGGGAAAGGGAGGACCTAAGTTGGGTCTGGAAATATAGCTTTTCTAGCATGTGCAAGGCCCTAGGTTTGATCTCCAGCATCACAAAAAATTTTTAAAAAGAACCCAAGGGAGTCAGAGTTTCCCAAGGAAGATAGTGAAGTGTAACATGAGGCAACAGGCCCAGCAGGGGTAGGTGGAAGAGATGGGGTTGAATGCAAGTAACCATGCCCAAGAGAAGACAGGTCATAGTAGAGAGTGCTCAGCAATTATAGTGCCAAAGTCACAAACTGAGTTTCTGACTGTCTGCTTATCTATACAAGTGATCGTCTTTGTTCATTACTGTGTTTTTTGACTCCTCAGGGGGAAGTCCATTTGTCCACCTACCACACTGACAGGTGTGCTTGAAAGGGAAATGCAGACACGACCTCCACCACCAATTCCTCATCACAGACAGCAGACAGACAAGTAAGAATTCTTCAGCTGTTTCCAAAGGGACCTGGCTGGTAGAGACGCCATCAGGGGCTGAACTGGCCTGGGCTGCACCAGCCACTACTGGCCTCTCTGGGCTTGGCCTTAGGGTGCCATGTTCAAATATATAAGGTTTATTTGGCTATCAGACACATTTGTTTAAGCCGCAGAAGACAAGTTTGATGTTTGTAATACCAGTTTCACTCCAGGGAGTACAGTGACTGGACATAATTTCCACAATATAGGTAGAAAATGGATTTAGTCTGTCATAACTAATGATTTAGAACTGGAACATCACATAATTAACAATAGTCACTCTGGAGATGAAAGTGGGATTGGGGGTAAGAATTAGGCAGTGAAGAGGGTGAGTGGGGACTTCCACATTTTTTTGTCTACTTCTAAGTGGCTTGAATTATTTTTACCACAAAAACACATTCGTGATTTAAAGAAGAAAACAAGTTGGCAAGTAGCAAGTCTGCCAGATGTTTTCTCAAACAGGAGCAGGGAAAGAGCATATCCTCACTCTCTTCCTCTCCTTTGTCAAGAGGGGAGCCCAGCTGCCCTATTATGACCAAGGCAGCATGTCTGAAAGTTACTCTGAAACCTAGAGAGTCTCTACTCCTTTCTGGCCTTCCACTCAGAAATCCTAGCAGTAACTGTTCTGTACTTCCTGCACAAAACCTCTGGAAGGATAATAAGAGCAGTTTACAGAGTCACCATGAGGGTCAGAGCAATTGGTATTTCTATGTCTAAGCCTCAGCCAAGGGCCATGTAGCTCCATAGAGCCAGCTCCTCTCTACCCCTGGAAACCAAGCAGCCTGGACTCTGATGAACACTGTTCATTGGCTTATTTATGCCATGCTACCTTTTTTGTTTTTAACTTGTTTGATTTTGCTATAAAACTACTATGGAAGGCCAGACATGGCAGCACCTGCCGGTGATTCCAGCCAACATGGTAGGCTAAGAAAGGAGGATAGCAAGCTCAAGGCTTCAACAACTTACAACTTAGTGAGACCCTGTCTCTAAATTTAAAAAAAAAAAAAAAAAATACTGTTATGGAGAAACTTTCAGGTTAGAATGGTATTAACTAATAAACACCTGTGTACCCATCACCAAATTTCAATAACCACCAGCTCGCATTTGCCTCTCTATCTTATCAAAGCTTCACAAGTGGCTAATCTGCTGATCCTTAACTTTCTGAAGACCTGTGTCTCTTTCCCCCAAAGAAGAAAAGATTGATTGTTCTTTTGTTTGCTTTTCAGGAATCCTGGGAGCAGTAATTTACAGAAGATAGCAAAGGAGCCAGTAATTGACTACTTTGATGTCCAGGACTGAGATCGAGATGCACTTAGATAAAAGAATAATTAGATGTAGTGGAGACTTATTTGCCAGCAGATAAATCATGCTTGTTCCTCACTGCCTGGCAGACCACAGCCTCATGTGCTGTCTTGTACTGATACATCCAAGCATGAGTGTTTCAGAAATCCCCTTGTCTATTCCTACATGTATAAAGTGTTTCGCTATGGCCAGATCTCTGATTGTATGGTCACTAGGTTTTCAGTGATATATTTAAAGAGTCTCCTCAAATCATCACTGTGATTGCTCTGAGGGTTGGGGGAATATTGGGTTTTATTTGGACAAATCAGAATTTTTGCCCAAAACTGGCTTCATGGCACTTAGTCATAGTTTCAGTTTTCCCAGTTGTTCCTCCTCCTGAAAATGCTTGCAACATCAGATAGATCTCTGCAAATTCTCAGCCTGAAATACCAAATACTAAATTTGTACACCAAATTTGAAATCACTCCTGTCATCTTAAACCTAACCATCTTTCCTAAGTGTTACTGTATTTTGCCAAAAGCTGTCTTGGAGCTATCTAGATGAACTTCTTTTTAATGTTTCCTAATACTGTCAGTTCTAGACCTACAAGAAAGTCAGGTTGCTTTATAGAATTCCGTTTTCTCAAGTTCCTGATGCTTCTTATACCACATCACTGAGCCTGTCCAGTGACAGTTTAGCCATCTCCCATAATAAAGGGCGTAGAACAAGCTTTTCCTTTTACCAGATTCACACTGTGGCCTCTATGAACTGACTAGTGTAATCCTAACTCCTCTCTGGTTGATAAAGAGTCTCATATAGACAACTGTCCTGCATTGCTTTTTCCTAGGCCTTCAACAGCCATGTTGATTTTCTCTGAGCTCTGGACCTCTGAATATTCAAAGAAGTATGTGGATAGTCCAGAGTTTATGCCCAGAAGCCCACTGGAGGCATTCTTCAGGCTCCTTTAAAGCAGGTGTGTCAACAGTTAAATTAATTTGGCTCCCTTTGCATTGGTAACCCTCTAGTATGGAGACCAGATTTCCAGCAGCTTCCTTCTGCTTCAAAACAAACCTTGATCCCCAGAGCAGCAGAAGGAAATTTGAGATGTGAAATTCCAAATTCAGGCATTTTTGTAAGAAGAGCAGGGTTTCCCTTTGGTCCTCACCCAACCTACTTTGAAAGATTGAGGTATAGCATGGGAACAGACAAGAAATGACAGAAAACAACAAAACTTCCTCTCTTTGGGCCCATTTAGCATAGGGTCTGTGACCCTACACACAGTAGAAATACCACAAGCATCTGTTAGGTCTTTAAAGTGGTGGATTAGGTGGGTGAACTCTGTGAAGGCATCTCAGAATCAGCAGGAGGCAAGAGGTCTGACTTCAGGTTCTAACTCTGCTCACAACTTGCCACTTGATGGAGTGGAAGTTTCACCTACCTCATCAGGGTTGTGAGGATTAAATGAAAAGCAGATATGGAGGTGCCTGATTCATCAGAGGAACTCAAAGTTCATGAAAATTACATTTGGTATCTGGAAAAATTGGTAAGCATTTCTCCAGAATGCTATCCAAATAAAGGGATGGAATGCCTACCAGGCTGCTCCTTATGAATGGCTGCATGCTTTCCAGATGCCACTTGTGTATTGGGACTACGAGAGGCAGATGTGCCGGGGCTTGAGGAAGAATTGTTCAGATTGGGATGAGACTGGAAAGGTAGATGTGTGTCAGCTGATGAGAACCACTGATGAACTCTAAGTAGAACAGCATGGCCAAATTCCTAATCCAGAGCAACAGTCAGGAAATATTTCTGTAAGCAACTAGAGTAATAGACTTTGTGCAACTTACAGTTTCTGTTAACAACTAGACAACTCTGCCATTGTGTGAACACAGCCATAGATAGTACATAATCTCACCTTACTTAGAATCACGTTTAGGGGGCTAGAGTTGTAGCTCAGTGGTAGAACGCTTTTGCCTAGCATGTGTGAGGCACATAAATAAAATAAATGTCCAGGGGCTGGGGCTATAGCTCAGTAGTAGAGCACTTGCCTAAAGTGTGAGGCACTGAGTTTGATCCTTAACACTACATAAAAATAAATAAAGGCATTCTGTACATCTATAACTATAAAAAAAATTTTTAAAAAATAAAGGTCCATCAACAACTAAAAAAAAATTTAAAGAAAAATCACTTGTAACTTATATATGTTACAAAATATACTTTTGACTTTTTCCCAGCCATTTAAAAATTGTAGGGCAGGGCATATAGCTCAGTGGTAGAACACTTGCCTGGTTGCCTGAAGCTTCCATCCCCCAGCCCTGGTGGGGGACAGGGAAAAACATGAGGATATTTGGGTTAGGATGTAGCTCAGTGGAACAGCACTTGCCTGGCAAATTTTTAAATTGTGAATTACATTCTTAGCTCATGGGTTGTGCAAAAACGGGCAGCAGGCTAGATTTTTTTTATTTTTATTTTTATTTTTTTTTTCCTTTCGTACCAGGGATTGAACCCAGGGGCACTTAACCACTGAGCCACGTCCCCAGACCTTTTTAATATTTTATTAGAGACAGGGTCTCGCTACGTTGCTGAGGCTGGCTTTGAACTCATGATCTCCTGCCTCAGCCTCCCCAGCTATTGGGATTACTGCCAACACAACTGGCTAGCAAGCTTGATTTGACCATGGACCTTATATTACTACCCTGTTCTAGAGAAGCCTCTTAGGTAAAAGTGTGTGAAAAGGATCGGAAGGCAGTTTTGATATATGAAGCAGAACCAAGAGGCTGCAGAGGTGATCCAGAGATCCAGATAAAAGAGGATGAGGGTGATAAGATTTGACCCTGCAAAGAAGAGATTCAGATCAGGGAGTTAGGATATGATGCCTGGGGTCTGCAGGGGAACCAGCCCGCTTCTGAGCTCCAAGGGAGCCCCAGGCCACCTCAGCAAGGGAATACTGTTTCTCATAGGTCTGTCTGATTCTTCACAGCACAAGCAGTCTTGAATACAATTTTACACTTAGATCCTGTGTTTTAAGGGAATCTGTGGACCAGGATCCCACACCATTGCTTCTTGAGAATCGGGTCCTGTCTTCTCCCCCTTCCAGTTCTACACTTTCTTAACAGGATTTCTTTCATGGGTCAGAATTTTCCAGAAACCAAACTCTTATCTCTGGAATTCCCTCTGGCTTGTCTTGCAGGACTGGCTCCTCTCAGCAGCAGTGCCAGTCTGATGCAATGGGTGGGAGGACTGGAGATGAAGCAGGCCCTCCTGATTGCAGGATCTGCCTGAAACAGCTCTGGATCCTGTCTTAGCCATGCCTGAGAACAGATCAGGGAGGGGAAAATGGAATGTCAGACTTGAGGGAAATGCAAAGTCCAAGTAATTGGGTCCTGTAGATTTAAGATTGGGGGTGGGGGGTGCCCTTCCTATGATGCTGGCCTTCTTGCTTCATGCCTGAAAGCCTGGGGACCTTGTTTCCTAAGAGAACCTTGCCAGGGTACCTCTTCATTAGTCTACTCACCCACAACCCAAGGGAAAGTTCTGCCTCCCAAACCCCAGACAGCTTTAGCATGGATGTCCCATACTGTCTTCCATGGTCTTTAGAGTGTGAGGATCCCCAGGAGATTTCAAAGCCACTCTGACCCCTCTATCTACAAAGGCTAATCCAAGAAGAGACATGCCACATTAGGCCTTGTGTTTGCCAACCTAGAAGCATCCTGTACCAGGAGGGAGATGACTCCTCAGAAAATTGAGTTGTTTGCCTCTCTGATATCTGCAAACAGAGCTCATGTGGAAGTCCTGCCCATGACCAGGTTTGCCCTGAGCTCAGGCTTTATGAGGTTGCTTTTTCTGATGCACAGCCTCCTGGAAAACCTGAGAAAAAGCTAAATATATAGAATTTCTGTCTTGCTGCCTCAATTCTCTCCTTGGGCAGTTTCTTAACAGTGAGCATTGGTTTCTGCATCTGAGGTAATGGGTCCTGCCCATGTGCTGTCCTGAGTTGTCTTGAGGGTAACACTTGGGTCATAAAGATCAAGAGAGTCTCCCCATGCCACATGGCATCAGCATAGTCAAGCCTCAAGCCTATACCAGGACAGCCTCAGCAAGTAACTACTGGGGGTCAGGGGAGGAACAACAGTAGTCAACTGCCTTGGCAAGGACAGTAGCTTTCAGTCACCTCACCATGTACTCCCTTCACCCACTTCACCCAACATGAGTGAGTCAAGTCCTCATCTCCTCACACTTGTCCAGGAGTCTCTTCTAAAAGTAGATAACAGTTATAGAGAACATAGAAGGTACTGAACACAGTGCCTTCTATGTTCTTTTTCATTCCTCAAAGCCCCAGAAAATATGTATTTGAAACCCCTTCACTAGTGGGGAGAGTGAGATCACTTACCCAGCTCACTCAGTGGACAACTGAGGATCTGAAATTCCTACTGAACTCCTGTATCTTCTCACGCCAAGCAGAGGCAACTTGGACAGCTCATTTGGAGTCCCTGGAGGAAGATGGCCCAGGTCAGGTCAAATGGGAACAAAGCTTATATCTATGACCCCAAGCAGAATAACCAGAGGATAGGACTTTTCCCACAATGACCACTAGGGTGCAGTATGGATCCCCAAACCAGATGGGTGGGGGAGTGTTCACATTGCCTCAGGAAAACTATTTAAAACATTTGAGTGGCATTTATAACCGGTGTATTTAAAATTTATCACATTTGCATTCCTTTTTTTAATACTGCCTTCTCTCTACTTGTTGATATACAGAGCATAGGCACAGGGGGAAAACATAAGGCATGCAGATATCTGAAGGAATAGTCTTCAAAATATGGAACAGCCATTGCAAAGGTTCTACAGTGGAAACATGCACCGTGAAGGAACAGCAAGGCCATCGGGCTGTAGGGGAGAGTAGCAGGGATCGGAAAGGTAACAGAATTTGTTGGTGTCAGGCCTTGTCAGCCACTGGAAGATTTAGGACAGGAAAGATCTCACACATTTTTAAAAATAATCATCCAGCTTCTGTATTGAGTCTAGATGCCTGGGCAAGGGAAGAGGTTTAGGAAAACCGTCAGAAGACCACTGCTGTAGGGCTGGGGATATGACTCAGTGGTAGAGCATTTACCTGTCATGCATGAGGCCCTGGGTTTGATCCCTAGCACTGGAGAGGTGGAAAAATAAATAAATAAAGATGATCACTGCTGAAATCAGAGAGACAATAGTGACTTGAGCTGGGGTGGTGAAAGTGGTTGTATTCTGGATACATTTGCAGGTAACACCTAAGAGATTTACTGACATGTGGGATGTGAGAGAGAAGAGGAGTCAGGAATGACTTCAACGTTTTTGGCCTGAGCAGTTGGAAGACTGAATTTGCCATTTACTGAGATAGGAAAGAATGTGGGAGGAGCAGGTTTGGGGGATGAAAATCTGTCCAGTAGGTGGTTGTACATGGGAGTCTGAAGTCTGGAGTTTGGACTGGGCTAGAGATCTAATTTTGGGGATCTGTTGCATATAATGGTATTTAAAGGCTGATGAGATCATAACTGGAGGGCGGGGAAAGAGAAGAGGCACAAGGACTAAGCCCTGAGCGTTCTATCATCAAGGGGACAGGGAGCTGAGAACAGGGTGGAAGAGCTGAGGAGTGGCACCTCCATCCACTGTCTGCCTTGCTTCCTATTCTACCATGGCTCTCTGCTTCTGCAGCACAGCCACCTCATGTCCCTGGTGAACAAGAGTGGCCTGGTGCATCATCTTTTCTTTGCTATCCCCTGACCTAGAGCCAGAGGCCAGGACAAATATGAGGGAATGACAGAATGGAGGCAGGAACACATTCTTAAAGGGCCTGGCAGGGCTCATCCCATGACCTGTTGCAGCCCTCATTTGAGGAATTCTCCTTATCAGCCTTATTGGGTCCCTGGAGACTCAGTTCAAGATTTATGGCCTCAAGTGTGCCTGGGTTATGTGGCTCTGAGTTTTGTGTCTTCTCCCTCAATCCCTGACCCAGCCTCTCAGCCTACAGCCTCCACTCACCCAATCCTCCCCCAGGATCCAGAGTAACCTCTACAGATGCCCTCTAGCATTTCTACCTTGGCCCCTGGACACAAACAAGAATCCCAAGACTGTGAACTCTTACAAACTCCACCCAGCCTTGCTACATCACATGGTAATGCTAGTGGCAGAATTAAACCTGAAGCACTTCACTTTCACTGAACTTCATTATCCATTATCCTCCTTTACAGGTAAAGAAATTAAGGCCTAGAAAGGTTAAATAATCCACCCAAAGTTCAGTGGTAGACATTGAAGTGTTAGATTGTTTTAAATTTGGGAAGTTTTATTGTTTTTGTTACTGTTTTGTTTGTTTGCTTTAGGACAGGGTCTCCCAATATTGCCAAGGCTGACCTCAAAACTCCTGGGCTCAAGCAATCTAATCCTCTTGCTTTAGCCTCCTTAGTAGCTGGAACTATTCACATGCACCACTGCACCTGGTTGTTCTTTTGTTTTGTTTTGTTTTTAGTTGTTGTTGGACTTTTTTTTTTTTTTTTTAATGTGGTGCTGAGAATCAAAACCAGTGCCTCATTCATGCTAAGGAAGTTCTCTACCACTGAGCCACAACCCAGCCCCTGCACCTGGTCATTATTTCCTAAGTGTTTTATTGTTATTCTCACTGTTCCTATATGTTATTTGTACCCTTGCTTACAAAATAATATTTCACAATTTAAAACCAAACAAACTAGTTAAGGTCACATCTTCAGGTACCAGGTTAATGCACAGGCTTCAGAGACACATTGACAAGGCTAGAGTCCCCTGTACGGCCCATCTCTCTAGCTTCCTTGTAAGATGGGCCTGACGACATGAAGATACAAGAGGGTGCGTAGTGCTAACAGCAAACATATATACTCCCCTGTCTTCATGCAGCTCTGTAAAATTAGATTATTATCCCATCTTAACTGAGGTCATATGGCTAGTGAGTGGCAGAGTAGATGTTTGAATCCAGGCAGGCTGGCTTCGGTGTATTCAGCATAAGCCCATGCTATATGCAGAATGGCTGAGATCACTATGCTCTACTGTTCCCACTCTAAGACCAGTGCAGAAATGGGTGTGGAGCCAAAATTGGGCTGCACTATTGGGAGTGGCCACAGCTTTATCAGCCCTAGGGCTGAGCCTAAAATGGCTGCTGCTTCCTAAACTTCAGGAACCCATCTGAGGGAGGAAACAGTAAAACCAGTCAGATCAGGGTACTGCTATTTTTCCTTAGAAGCCCTAGGAGAAAGAGAGAGTGAGCCAGACAGGGAATAAGAGGCTCTTGGCCAAGCTGAGATCACCAGGCGGAGGATCAAACCTTTGCAAAACCTTGGAAGGACTAGGAGTTGTTCCTGTCCCATTGCTATCCCCATCTCAGCTGGAGAAGGGGCAGGATGGAGAGGGATCATAGCATGAGGCTACAAAGTGCCAGAAGTCAGAGCTAGGAGACCCGCAGACACTAACAGATCCAAGTTTCATTGAATAGACAGGAAACCAAGGCCCAGAGAGTGGAAGGGTACTGTTCAGATCACATAGTCTGTGCTGGGATTGGGAGAATGGGAGGAAAGAAATGTGGGTATGTGGGGGGCGGGGGTACACATCCCCAAAGCCAAGAGCAAGAACCCATAAGGTGGGCTGGGGTTGTGGCTCAGTGGTAGAGCACTTGCCAAGCATGTGTGAGGCACTGGGTTCAATCCTCAGCACCACATATAAATAAATGAATAAAATAAAGATCCAGCAACATCTAAAAAAATGAAAAAGAAAAAAAAAAAAAGAACCCATGTTCTGTGATGCCCATCTCACCCATTCCTGCTGCTTCCTTCCTGCCATTCTCTAGAGACTTCTTCCCTCACTCCTGCCCAGCCCTTGTCCTCTCCTCCCCTGGGCCTGTCCTCAGTCCACCCACTCACTTCTCTGACCTCATCTTCTTCCACTTCCCACTCCCTCTTTCCCTTCCAGCTCAGCAGCCCCTCTTAACTTCCTTCTTTATGGCTTTTCACCAGCCATTTCTTCAGCTTAGCATACATTTTCCTCATGTGTTCACATGGCTCATCCTTCAGCCCCTCCAGGTCCTTCCTCAAAATTGTCTTCTCAATGAGGCTTTCTGCTTTTCTCACTTCCCCACACTTCCCATTCCCCCTTCCTGATTTTCCTTCTTAGCGTCTATCATTAACATACCATATATTTTGCACAGGATGTAAGTTCAGTAAGAACAAGGACTTTTGTTTGTCTTCCTTGTGCCTATATCCTCAACACTAGAATGTCATGTGCCATACTGTAGGCTTTCAACCAGTGTCTGCTGAGAGAATAGGAAGACTTGCTCTGTGACTGCGGTCAGGACTCATCAGAGCCTGACATTGGGACCAGAACCTAAAATAGGTACAGGCAATAAACCTCCTACAAGGTTTATTGGCAGGGCAGTGGAAAGCAGGCAGATGGACCTATTGGCTGTCCTGCTTCTGAAACAGCAAGGAGGGCCCTGCTTCCCCCACCAAGGTTTCCTGCTCAATGTAAGTTGTTTTTGAATAATTGTTTCCACCAATGACCAAGTTCAGGAGCTGCTCACTCCTTTCCCCAAGCTTTCCAGCAACCTTTACATGTACAATGGGCCTGAACTTAACTGACCTTCTTCAGGTGGCAGAGTAAGCACCTCTTTCATTTTTTGTAAGCTGAGTGCAGACAGACTGAGTGCACATGTGCAGATCCCAGTGTCAAGGGAAAAGCCTGGTGCTGAGAACAAAGATCTGAAAACAAGTGTGCAGAAATTCTGAGCTCAGTGTGCAACAGCTGACTGTGCCTGCCGGATCCCACCCCTTCTGTGTTAGCTTTGCTCCTGGTGTCCTCAGCAAACGGTTCAGGAAACCTGTCCATGCACTGTTTCCCTTGTACTCAAGCACACACCCCAATAAAGCCTCATTCAGATGGTATTGCTTGCCTCTTTGTGATTTCTATCTCAACTGAGCTAAAGAATTCTCAGATTAGCTGTTAACACTAAGAGCTGGGATCATCAGAAAGAGCTATGCTTTGCCTTTTCATGATTTCTATCCCCAGTTGAGTGAAAAACACCCCACACTGATTAGTAACACCTCCAGGGCCACCTCCCGAGAACATGAGGATGCCAGAGTGTTCGGTGAGGGATAGAGGAGGGCAGGACCCAGAGATCTGCCTCTCATGTGATTGAGGTCTTAGGATCATGTTCCTCTGAAATATCAGGAATGAAAAAGGCCACCTCATGCTCATGGGACCACTGAAGCTGAGAGGGGAAAGGAATGCAACAGGATCAAAGAGGGAGGCCCTGTATAGCTGACTGTCAGCCCTTCCCTGATCACTGTTGGCCCTGCTTCCCCTGACTCTGTTCCTCTCAGCATGGACATCAGACATAAGCCTCTCCCCTCCATCCCTGGATTCTCTGTGATTTTAGCAGGCCATACTTGTCATCCCCAACCCCAATCCTTTTTTTTTTGAACCAGGAATTGAACTCAGGGTTGCCTAACCAGTGAGCCACATTCCCTGCTTTTTATGTTTTATTTTGAGACTGACTTGGAATTTGTGATCCTCCTGCCTCAGCCACCTCAGCTCCTGGGATTACAGGAGTGAGCCACCATGCCCAGCCCCCAGCCCCAATTCTTACACTGCAGCTATTCTTTTTTTTTTTTTTGGTAGTGCTGGGGATTAAAACCCAGGGCCTTAAGCATGCAAGGCACTCTACCAACCGAGTTATATCCCCAGCCCTCTGCAGCTATTCTTTGTGTTTTTAGATACATGACCCATGCATACAAAAATACATATCACATTTACATGATCCATACATACATAAATATATATCACATTTATGTTACCACATAACAAATTCTAAATGTTTTAGCACATCTAAACCCAAGCATAACATTCATAAATTTACCTCCAGCCCCAGAACTAGAAAATTATTAAAAGCTTACAATACCTTTGAGCTCTAGGTAACACCCCTATCTCCCTGGGGAAATCATTTTTTTTCAACAGTATTATCACATACATGTATGTGCCCTGAAGGATATATTAATTTTTCTTGTCTTTCATCTGTAAAACTGAAATCAAGCTGGGTGCACATGCCTGTAATCCCAGCAACTCAGGAGGCTGAGGCAGAAGGATTGCAGGTTCAAGAACAGCCTCAGCAACTTAGCAAAGCCCTAAGCAACTTAGTGAAGCCCTGTCTCAAAATAAAAAATAAATGGGTTCAATCCCCGACACCCCACAAAAATAAATAAATAAATAAAAAATAAAAAGAGGGCTGGGGTTGTGGCTCAGAGGTAGAGTGCTCGCCTACCATGTGTGAGGCACTGGGTTTGATCCTCAGCACCACATAAAAATAAAATATTGTGTCCACCTCTAACTAAAAAATATTTTAAAATAAATAAAATAAAAAGAGTTGGGGGTGTTGGGGTTGTCACTCAGTGGTAGAACGCTCACCTAGCATGTGCAAGGCCCTGGGTTCCATTCTCAGCACCACACAAAAACAAATAAATAAAGGTATTATGTGTAACTACAACTAAAAAGTAAATGTTTTTTTAAAAAAAGTTGGGGATGTGGCTCAGTTGCTAAGCACCAGTGGGTTCAATCCTCAATCCCCAAAAAACTAGAATCATATTGTATAGAGTCTACTGTATTGCTTTCTATGCCTTCAAATGTTCTCCATATTGTTACAGGTACCTGTTGTGCCTTAATTTTCTTTGTTGTATAATATTCTGTTATTGGTGATTGTATAGCAACATGTATATCTCTTCCTCTGTTGGTGGACATCTGAGTTGCTACCAGTGCCTCTTGACCACCCAACTTGTGCCCTGCTCCCTGACTCTCCTTTCACTCTTCCATGAAACAGTACATCTCCACAAAGCCATGAATCTCTGCCTTTAGCTCTCTTCTGAGCTCTAGACCACATAAAAGGCTCAACTGCAATTATTGAGCACTTACTTGGTGCAGCACTGTTTTTCAGCATTTTACATGTATTAGCACATTTAGCATGGTAAGTTATACTCTTATCCTCATTTACAAATAAGAAGATCAAGCTGGGGTTTTGGCTCAGTGGTAGAGCACTTGCCTAGCACGTGCGAGGCCGTGGGTTCGATCCTCAGCACTTCATAAAAAATAAATAAAAACAAATAAGAAGATCAAGACCCAGAGAGATTAATTTGCCCAAGATATCACACGTCTCTCACCCATCCGCCTCAAGTGCCATAGGCAACTCAAATGTCTGTGATGTTACTTATCTTCCTTTCCAAATCAGTCCTCCCTTGAATTCTGCTTTCAGTGGTGACATTACCAACCCCCCACATCCAAGCCAGAAACCGGAAGTCATCATTGACTTCTCCCTGTCCCTCACCCACTCCTTCATCCAAACCAAGCCTAAGTCCTGCTAGTTATACCTCCTAGACATTGATCAAATCCCATCAGTAATTTCCACCCACAGTGCTGACCCAGTAGGTACCTGCTACTGCTCCTGGATTATTGCCTCTCTCCATGTTCTCTGTAGACCAGTCTCCCCCATTGCCTGCATCCTGCACACTCAGCTTAGGTGGGCTTTCTCCATCATCTCACCATTCTCCCACCAGAAGGAAGCCTATCCTCTGACTCCTGTCCCTTCAAACTGTCAGATGTCTCTTAGCCCCAGAAAGGACACCCTAATCCCCACTCCACTCTGCCTCCTCCTCTGAGAAGACTGGAGGCTGGCTGTAAGACCCCCTCTGAGCGCTAAACATCCTACTTTCTAGCTCGTTTTTCATAAGTACCTATCCTCCATTATTCTGCATTCCTTAATGGTAGAGACCTCGCCTTAGCCATTAGGCATCTTCAGTGACCAGGCATGGTCTGCACACAGTAAATGCTAAATATATGAACAACAACAAGAACCACAGGTGATGCTGCCTTCTACATCCCAGAAAGCAGGATGGCTGGTTTCTGCCTGGCCCCATCATCAACATATCCTGGCTGCCAAGCTGCCACCCAGACTCTGGACCTGTTTCCTATGAACTCTGTGAGACTTTTTCTTGCCTTTTTACTGATCTAAAATATTTCCCTCATTACATCTTCCTTCCCAACTCTGGAACTCCTTAATGTGTGAGAACTCTTATTTCAGGAAGGAGGAAGACGAGTCCAACCCCTTACTAGCTTTCAGTCCATACCACGCATCTTCAAGGGAATGAAAATTGGAACAAGAATGAAAAGAGTCTCATTATTTTTATGTATGAAGCACGGATAGAGTAAGTAAACATAGGTTTAGTATACCTGTGGTATTAAAAAAATGTCATTAAGAAAATATTTAAAAGAATGCTGAAGGCACTAATGAAAAAAATGTTGAGAAATTCTGATCTGCACTCTTGATCTTGCTTTGTCTGGTCCAAGAACTGGCCATGGCTAAAGAAGGGACAAATGGGGGGACTCTAGAATCCTATCACAAGGTACCCTCAAGAAATGCCCAAAGTTGCCCCCACCCCCAGATAGTTCTGGGCCTTACATCAAATCACCCCCCTCAGAGTCCTCTATGCCTGTCACCTCACCCTAAGGCCACAGGTCAGTTCCTCCCAATTCTCCCTCAGGGAACACCCCAGCTCCTGTGCTGGAGAGAGTTGAGGCCTCTCAGCTCTATGCTCCAGACTTGAGCTAAGGCATAAACCTGGAGCTCCTGGAAGGAGCCAGGAGGGAAGCCCAACCACAGGAGGCCCCACAAAGTGAGGGTGCCACTGTGGGACAAGGCTTTCTTTATTAGGGTACGTTGGGATGACAGTCTCAACTTAGAACTGCTCTAAAGGCATGGAGCCACTTAAGGATGGGACAGGCTGGATTGAAGGGGCAATGGGGGAGGTCGTGGATGGGCTGGTCTTGGGCAATTCAGTTATCCTGTGATCTTCGCACACCATGGAGTTCTCCAAACTCTGAGGCTTCCGTGGGATGCTGGAGCCAATGAAGATGACATAGATGATGCCACCTAGGTAGGCACCTAGGAGTGGTGCCACTACTGGCACCCACCACCAGTTGTCCCCAGCACTGCAGGCAAGAGACAGGACTGCTGAGGAGGCCAATGCCCAGGGTGGCACTAGCATCCACCTCAGGCCAAGACAGAGTGAGCAGAGGAGTCACCCCAGGAGACACCCTTGCCAGGGGCCCTGGCCCGCCCCAACCAGATTCAGGGGTAGGGTTGACAGTCCCAGAGCAAGGTCTACATCTGTGCTGGTCTGGGAAAACATCAGGACCCACCCCAGCTCCCTGAGCTATCTGGATGTTCTGCAGGACTCTCCTAGGCGGCTGCTCAGGTTGCCCCACCCCTCTGCAAGCAGGGGCCCCACAGAAAACTCACAGGAATGGGGCTTGGCAAGGGCAGTACCTGAACACCTGTTTGCCCCAGCCAGCAATGAAAGTGAAGAAGCGAGGAGGCAGGTCCCGGGATGGGTTCATAGCATATCCTGAGTTCATGCCTAGGGACGCTCCGATGATGACAATGAGGAGGCCGACCACCAGAGCCTCTGTCCCTCGAAGTGCTGGATTGTTGTCCTTGTCCGTGATGGCAAAGAGACACAGCTGGAGCATTCCTGTGATAAACATCTGGGGAGTAGATGACATGGCAGCCCACTGAGGCCCTAGCCAAGCCACGGAGTCTCCATTGTACCCTAAATCCAAACACCCTGGCGGAGACATGTCTTGGTACAGTCCCCATCCAGAAGTCTTTTCTTCTATCAGCCTACACTACTGACCTCATCCAGGAAGCCCCTCCACAATATCATGTGTTCAGGAAGGTAAGTGGCAAAAATGCCAGCAGTGGCCGTGGGACCAGTCACTGTCAGAAGGTTGCCGGAGAAGTGGATAATGGCCGCTGTGGAGACAGATTGAGTTATACCCCACCAACATCCCAGATTATAGGGTGAGGGTTGGGAAGCACCTCCAAGGCCTTTTCTCCCAG